AAAAAGGGAAACTGAGGCAGGGGGAGGCTAAATGCACAGTTGGTAGGAGGGGAGCCGCCGGGATCTAAACCCAGGCCGCCGGCTCCAGCCGCCCACCCCGAGCACCGCCCGCACCCTGGTCCCCGTGCTGTGCCCGCAGCAAGGGGACACCGGCCCGCGAGAAGGGCCAAAGCCGGCCCCGCCTTCAGGGTCTCAGGATCCCCTCCGGCCGAGCCAGCAGAGCGCTGACGCTGCAGGAGTGGCTCATCTGGGGAAACAAAAATAAGAACGAAAAGAGACACCGCAGTGTCACATCGCCCTCCTGTGAGGACAAACATTTCATCCAACGGCCGGGCCAGCAGGACCCACGGCCCCGGGGCCCCTCGGGCTCCACGGCCACAGTCCATCGGGCGGGCTTGGGTCCCGGCACGGAGGGAAATGTCACCTTGCCCCAGCTCCCCACACCCCCCCGCCCGGCACACAGAAGAGCCTCGGGAAACCTCGCAAACACAGGCACGTGCCGGCCCACAAACTCACACATGGACACGTGGGCCCCCGCGAGTCTGCACATTACACACACGCACATGCTCCCACACGCACACAGACACGCACGCGTGTGTACCGCCCTCCAAGGGGCTTGTAACACATTTTCACATGTTGCCTCGCATGACCTGAACACAGGAGCCCAGGAGACTACGTGGGAGAGCGTCCCCACCATGCAGATGGCGGCCCGCCCTGACTCAGCGGGATGGCGGAGCCCTGTCCCTGTGCTGCTTCGGGGATGGGTACGTTTAAAGCCAGTTGCGGCAACAGCATGCTCTGTGCCTTGTGCAGAAATACCGGCCAGAAGAGCATGCGCGACAACGCCCTCCATTACTCAGGCTTATTCCACACGACCACCTATCAAAGCAATTCTCCCCATTTTCCGGAGGCGAAAGTTGAGGCAAACGCTCCATTTGGCACTGGCCTCCCAGCTGCCCATGCTGCTCCTGGGGTTCATCTCCCCCCCACATCTAACTGTCCACCTTCAGCACAGGAACCCTAAGTCGTGCCCAGAGGCGCCCCACCCCCAGCCGAGGCTGTCAGTTTGCACACGGGCCCACGCGCAGGGGCAGAGAGGGTTGAGGAAGCCCCCAGGTCTCCACTCGTCCCCCTCAGAGGCTGCAGCCACTTCTGCTGGCACAGCCTCGCTGGACAAGCGGCGCTGGGGGCGCTCTGCCAACCGAGTTAATGAGGGGCTTTCCAGCCAAGGGAAGCAGCCCCAGAGAAAGCTGAACACCAGAGCAGAGGCTGGGATGTCCTGCCAGGGAGGAGGGGTGGACAGGAGTAAAGCCAGAGGTGGATGAAGGCACCTGCTAAGGGAGGGGAAGAAGGAGGAGAAGGCCAAGTTTAGTGTCTCCTCCTCCAGGAAGCTTCCCCAGATCTCCCCAATGGACCGGACCCTCCCAGAGTATTTAAAGTGAAGCTTGGCACAAAAATGAACAGTGAAACAAACACAAGTGCTGCCCAGAAGATTTGGGGCTCCCGCACTGAGAAGCCCTGCCCCCGCTCACCTCTGTCCTCCCATAACCCTCCAGGCCAGGGTGCAAAGGCAAAGGCCTTCAGGGTCCGGGAAGGTCATGCAGATGAGTGGAGGGCCAGGTAAAGAGAAGGAACAGGAGAGTGGAGGCTGCCTTCAGTCTGGTTCTTCTTGAAGGCATTCCAGTAGAAAAGGAGGGAGGGGGAGGGAGGGGGAAGGAGGGGAGGGAGGGAAGGGAGGGAGGGAGGGGAGGGAGGGAGGAAGGAAGGGTGGGCTGGAGGGAGGGAGAGAGGAGGGAGGAAGGAAGGAAGGGACGGAGGGAGGAAGGAAGGAAGGGAGGGAGGGAGGAAGGAAGGAAGGGAGGGAGGAAGGAAGGGAGGGAGGGGGGAGGGGGAGAGGGGGAGAGGGGGGAGGGGGAGAAGGGGGTGGGATTGAAGCACGGTTGGCAACGCGTCCCTCACCCCGGGGGCCACATGTGGCAGGGCCGCCTCCCCCACATCTGCTGCTCTGGGCACCAGGCCGCCCCCGGGGAGAGCTGATAAGTGGATGTGAAGAGAAAAGGTAGCCCCCCACCCTCCTCCCAGGTCAAAGGCACTGAGGCGTGGCCACGCCAAGCACAAGGGAGACCCTCACTCAGGACCGAGATGCAGAGGTCACGCAGACCCGGAAGCTGGGCTCCCGCACCTTGCAGGCCTGCGTGAGGGGCCAGTGAGACAATGTGGGCACAGGGCCAGGCAGATGCCAGCACACCCACTACGAGAGTTAACACGTGCAACGGTCTCGGGGGGAGGGGCCCCGCCTTGCTCCTTAAATGCAAACCCAGGGTGCCCCAGGGTGTGGGTGACTCATCCTTGACCCTCGGGGGCTCACTGCTAGTCTGCCCTCTCACCGTCCTGTTATTGGGGGGGGGCGTGGGCATCTGCTCCCCACCCCCTCTGCTCCACCAACACTGTCTGTGATCCAGGGAGGAGGCAGGGCCAGACGGCCAGAAGGCAGGGGCGGGGCAGGCGGGCATCAGCTGTGTTGGGCTAAGGGCGGGGCCGTGGTGCATGTCCAGAAATATCTGAAGGGTGGGGTAACGGGGCAGGCTCTGGCCAGCACCCCAGGAACAGCCCTGGAGCAACATCACAGGAGAAGGGACTTTGTGCCCCCGCGCGGGGAAGAAACCCCTGCCTGGGGCCCCTGCTGGGTGGTCAAAGCCACTGGGCAGCGACCACAGCTCCAGCCCCTCCAGCCACTGAAATCTGGACCAGATGAGGGACAGGGCTCCGGGGAGCCCCTCCCACCACCGGCTCTCTTCTGGGGAGGCGGGGAAGGGGGAAGGATGGAAAAGGATGTCTTTCCAGCCAACTTGATTGAGTCAGAGGAAACTTAACCGTTTCGTATCTGTCACGTCCCACAGAACTTGGACGACTCTTCCCACAAAATTATTGCACGAAGCAGGCACATGACTGGTGTCAACCAATGGCGGGCCAAGGAGATGACCTCAATTTCCAAATATTGGGGTCACGTTTCATTTCACATACTCCCCTCCACCCGTTACATGTTAAAGGGCCCCAAATGCAATCTTAACTTTTCATTCCTTCGCACACTTGGCCCAGGAGAAGGTAGGAAAAAGAGCCATGTTCAGAGAAAACTCGGAAAACATCTGGCTTATCCCAAAATGGAGACGAGAACAAGCTCCTTCGAGGACCGCTCCCGCCTGGCCCGCGCCTGCGGTGGACAGCCGCCCTCCCTGGCCACGCACCGCCCGTGACTTCAGGACGGGTCCCACCCTGGGAGGTGGGGACGGGGCTGGGGAACCCGCTCGGAAAAGCGGCTTCTTCACATGCTTCTAACTAACGGTCTTTCTGATAAAAGTTGCCAAATGAGCAACTCGTGGGCCAGGGGCCAGGCTGCTGCCCCGTCCCCTCTGCCACGCTTCTGCGTCCAAGGGCCGCCCTTGGGAAAGAGGGGATCGGAGAGGGGGCAGGGGCTGCGGGGGCAGACAGAGCCCGCGAGTGGAGCCGGGAGCCCGCTGCAAACCCGGCGAAGGCACGCTCCCCCGTCTGCACCCGGCCCCCTGCTTTGGGGGCTGACGATTCCCCTGAAGGGTTCCGTCCAGTGTTCCTGGGGGAGCCCAGCCGAGGAGCAGGACAGAGGCTAAGTGCCTCAGCCGCCATGCGGCCCCCTGACTACATCCCCCACCGACTCCAGACCAGTTTCCTGGAGGCCACGGTTGTCCCCTCACTCAACTGATTCCAGGCGGGGGGAAACACAAAGCCAGTTAGCCCGGGACCCTGGGCACGTTGGTGGCAACCCAGGGATAAGACACCAGATCCCCAGAGCTGAGCCAGGCACCCCTCAGCTGCCACAGGCCTACGCTGGCAGGACACCCCGACTCCCATCGAGCCAGGAAAAAGGGAAAGAGTATCTTAATTGGCAAGTGGCGCATGGAAAGTGATTCTTCCCACATGGCTTCAAATTACAAAGTGGAGGGGAGAAGGGGACCGGGCAGTGGAGCCGCTGGCCAGCTGTGCCCCCCACTCTCCCTGACCTCGCCCCAGCAGCTCTGAGCCTTGTCTGCCGGCTTGTTAATGGGGACTCGAGACATCCCAGGACCTCTGAGGTCTGAGGCTGTGTGAACACCCATCCCACGAGTAACCACCAAGGTGATGCTTAGAAGCCACTGTCTGTCCCATCAGAAAGCTGAGTGGGAGGGAGTCGGAGCTGCAAGACTCCAGGCGACCGGCGGATAGGGCTCCTTCCAAGTCAGACAGACCTCTGGGAGGCAGATCTGCGGACCATCTGAGCCTCTCTGCCCGGATGCCACCACCATCTCCTGACTCGGGCTGCAAATCCCATCTCTGGGAGGCAAACCCAAGAAAAACTGCCTCCCAGGGGGTCAGGAGGTTCCGGGTGGGATCAGGAGCAGGGCTGGTCGACCAGCCTCCAGAGCTCCGCAATTATCACTGAGCTCTTCGGGGCCAGGATTGCAAGACTCCAAGGAACGCGGAGACCCAGCCTGGAGGAGGCCTGGAGGGGACGGGGGGGGGGGGGGGGGGGGGGGGGGGGGGGGGGGGGTGCAGGGCTGGAGGGGCTCCAGTTTCTGGGATTCCCCGGCCAGCGGCCAGTGTCCCCCCACCCCAGGAGCTCGGCCGGAATGGACTGGCTGCGACTCTAGGGGGCGACCCTTCCCAGTTTTCAGGAGAGGAAGTTCTGCCGGGCGCGAGTGACGTGGGACCGGAGAAACGAAGTTTCGGGACAAAGTTTGCCGGCCTCGCGGACAGACCCCCGGCTGACCCAGCGCGAGGCCCCCCGTCCGCGCGCGCCGCAGCCCCGCGCCCCCGGCCGGCTCTCTGGCGCGCGGGGTACCGTGCTGGCGCGTCTGCCTCCCGGGCCCCGAGGCTGGCATTCGGAGAGGCGGCCCGCGCATTCCCCGAGCCCGCGGGAGGCGGGTGGAGCGCCGGGGAGGCCGGCGCGGCCCGGGGATGACAGCCGCCCCTGCGCCCGGGTGCCTTACCTGCGCGGCTCAGAGGCGGCGCCCACAGCAGCAGCAGCAGCAGCAGCAGCGGCGGCGGGGACAGCAGCGGGGCGCCCGGGCGCGGCGGGCTGCGCGCTTTCCAGCGGGTGTGGACGTCCATGCCGGCGGGGCGCGGGTCGGGGCGCGCGGGGACGCACAGGGGCGCGGGGCGCGGCCCGGGAGGGAGCGGACTCGGCGGGGACCGCGCGCTCTAGGAAGTCATGGGGAGCAGGCGCCGGCGTTCTCTTTGTGGCGGTGGCTCTCGGACGAGGGGCCGGCTGGCGCGCTCGCCCACGCGCGGGGGGTCGACCTTGGCCCGCGGGGCGGCCGGGACCCCGCTCTGCTCGCCGCCCTCGCCTCCTCCGACTCCTTCTCGCCGCCCTCTCGCCGCCGCCCCGCGACCCGCTCCCCGTGCGCGCTCCGCTCGAGTGAGGTCCTGCGCCAGCCGCGGGGACGGGGAGTGCCGACCTCGCCTTGGGCGCCCTGCGCTTTTCCCCCCTTTCCCTCCCTCCCTCTCCCCTGGAAGGCACCCGCCGAGGCTGTCGATCCCCCGCGCCCGCAGCAAATCAGAGCCCGGCGCCGCGCTCGGCCGGGCCGGCCCCCGCCTCCCACTGGGCGCCGCGGGCGAGGGGGTGGGGCCAGCGGGCGAGCCGCGGCGAGGAAGGGGCTGGCCCGGGGCCCGCGCGGGCGCGGCGCGGAGGGGGCGGGGGCGGCGCCCGACTCCCCGCCCGCGCGCGCGGACGCGCCCCGCGCCGCTGCCCCGGGCCCCCACTCTTCCCGCCCGGGTGCCCGCACCTGGCCCACCCCGAGGGAGCCGGGCCCCGAGTCGGATCACTTTGGGTTAAGAAAAAAAAAAAAAGTTGCAGCTCAGCCCAACTTTGTCTTTTACGTGGAGGAGTTCCGAGCTCTTCTGGGTGGAGACTAAACTTCCAATTCAGCCAGATCGGGGCGCCCAAGACTGTGGCCGACTTGTCAAGCCGCCCAGACGACCCACCCTCCACCTTCCCCCTCTCTGCGGATTGGGCGTGGGAGCCCAAGTTTGGGTCTGACTTCCCCAGGGTCCCCAAAAGGAGCTTGGATGGTGCACATCTGGGATCTTAATCAGGCGAGGTTGGCCGGCAACCCCCACCACCCCCCTCCTCACTCCCTCCCGCGTCATCCCCGTCCCCCGTGACCCCTCTGCAAGAAAAAGGAATCAGAGAAGATGCCCCTTGGAGAGGAGATAGCAGGCAAAGGAGTGAGGGGTCAGGACCGGCTGCCCTGGGGACTCCCGCGGGACGCCTGCCCTCACTTCGTTATGCCTTGGGGAGCTCCCTGGACGGCACGCTGCCCCTTCCGTCGGGCTCCTCAGCCCAGAAAGCCTCTCTTCTGGAGAACTGCAGGGCTGTTCTTAAAAAGAGAAAGGGTGACGTGGATTAAGGGGCTTGCCATTCCCGAGCTGTCCAATCCCAGCCCCCTTGAGCACACAGTTCCCGCAGGGGTGCTTGGCCAGGGCTGGGGCCCACGCTCCCTGTTACATCTCCAGACTGGGTGGGAGATTCCTCAAATGCCCTTTACTGCCCATCATTCTAGAAACAAGGACTTGCACAGACAGACGGGGAGATGTTTGAGGGGCGTTAAGTAAAGCAAAAATGTTCTTTCTGGTTTTTATATTTCTTTGCTGTCTGTTATTTCTTCAACCTGTATAAGCCATACATAAAATTGGAATTATATGTGTGAGTTGTGTGCATGCATGTGTTTATACATGGGTGGGGGTGGGGGGGTGTTGAGCTAGAGCTGGTCCTTTACTTGAATGCACCTTAATGAGATTCCACCTGATAGTTCTGAACCCCCAGCCCCAGCCCTGTCCGGCCCCGAGAGCGCCCCCACCAGTGGAAAGGCCGCCTCTCTCCATGACTTGGGGTACTCACAAAGGTCACTGGCCTGGCTATCAGAAAATAGCACAGACTTTCAGGGTTCTACCTTTTCCCCAGGGACATATGGCACTTCTCGGACAGTCACGTGTGCCTCCTCCGTCAGGCAGCCATCCGGCGTCCCTCTCAGTGGTGGGAAGAGGGCTTGCACCTCATAACCGGGAGCAGACAGGACGGATGAGTGTTATCCTGTCCCTGGGGAGTAAGGAGCGTGATGTCTTGGCCAAGCTGATGAAGGTGGGTTTCTATTCCATCCAAGCCCGGAGCTGGGTGGGGAGGCAAGTTTCCATCCCGCCAAGAAATTCAGAAAAAAGTCCCTACGCTGAGCAGCCTGACCTGCCAGGCCAGGACTTAGAACAACTTGACTGAGTCACGATTTAAATTCTAGTGAGCGCAGTGAAAGGTCAGCCGCCCCACAGGGGATCCGACAGGGTGCAGGGACTTGCCCAAAGTGCCAGCTGTGTCACAGCTGGGTTTTGCACCCAATCTCACTTTGGGCGCAAAACATGTTGATCACCTCGGCCAGACTCACGCGACAGTGATTGGAGGGAGTTGACCCCCAGCCCAGCATCCCCTAGACCCTCCCGTAATGCATTAAAACCCAGGGCCTTTGAGAACTGTTTAATTTGCTCTTGACCTGGAGAGTCTGCAGTGAGCAAGACACCCGGGTCCCTGTGGCTTGTGCCTGCCAGCTGCACGGAGACTCGGTCATCACCTGTGTGGGGAGTGGCCACCTGTGGGCACGTGGACTTCCCACATCTTCTGTAATTCATGCCAGGTTCCCATCCGGGCCCTCCCGGTGCCCGTACCTCCCATCACAGCCTTGGCCATGGGAGAGACCCACCAGGATCGGGGGCTCTGTGCACCCCGGCCACGATCCAGTACATTTCCCGCGGTGCCCGGTGAAGACTGGGGCAGGCCCGGTGTGCCCTGAGCTCTGCACCTGCGATCTGACCGCCCAACTTGACCCCTGTTGCTGTAAGTTCTCTTCATTTGCTATCTCAGCAGCAGAGCGGTGGGGCCACCCAGCCTCCCAGAGACATTGCCTGGCTGGGAAAGGGCCGGCCCGTTCCCAAGGGAAGCCCTCCCAGGCAGCCAGGTTCCTTCCCTCCTTTCCCCCCAGCAGGTGGAAGCTCTAGGCCCCCCGGACAGGTGAGAGGGACTCGGGCATCTGCTGGACCCCTAAGGGTTCACGGTCCGCCGGGGCACTCAGGTGGGCCCCAGGCGTCTGGGGGGCTACCGCCCAGCAGGGTCAGTGGCTGGGGTCGCCCCCACACCTGTCCACAGTGGAGGGCAGCCCGGGGCCGAGTTGCCTTTGGCCGCCCAAAAAGGACACTCTTACCCTGCACCCCTCACCTGCAGGTGGTGTCCTGGGCTGGGGGCGGCAGACTCAGCTCGGGCCCCAGCCGCAGCCCCAGTGAATTCTCCTCTCGGCTCCTCAGTTTTGTTATCTGAGAAGCAGGGAAGAGGAAGCCCACGCCCACGGACCGAGTAGAACATAGATGAGAAGGTGATGGGGCGCCTGGGGGGCTCAGTCGGTTCAGAGTCCGACTTTGACTCAGGTCACGATCTCGTGGTTTGTGGGTTCGAGCCCCATGTCGGGCTCTGTGCTGACAGCTCAGAGCCTGGAGCCGCTTCGGATTCTGTGTCTCCCCCTCTCTCTGCCCCTCCCCCACTTGTATTCTATGTGTGTGTGTCTCTCTCTCAAAAATAAATAAATATTAAAAACATTTTTAAAAAAGAAAAAAGGTGAGCCAACAAGGGCTCAGAGATGCCAGTGCCCCGCCTTCTCTGCTCCCCATTCCCCCTACACCCCACACACCCCCATATCCTCACCCCCCGTCCCCCCACACCCCACCCTCACCCCTCCTCAGCTGGCCTGTCTTCCTCCCCAGCCCCCCAGTCAGTGGAGCAAGGACCCGCCCTCTGAGGGAGAAGCTCAACAGCAGGGTGTGGATGAGCCAGACCTGAGCACGGACCCTCAGGGGGTGTGGCCCTGCTGTGCAGGAGGGGGAGGCTGTCTGCAGAGGGTGGCCCTGCCGGCTCCAGGGACCCCCCCCACGCGGCTGTGGGGCCCCCCCCATGCGGCTGTGGGGCCCAGCACACCCCGGGGCTCGCCCTTCACACTGGGGGAGGGCGCTATCAATCCCAGGGTGACTTCTCAACAATGACTAGCAAAATTCATTACTGTATTTTCTTTAATTTTTATTCAGTTTTGAGAGAGACAGACAGAGACAGAGTGCGAGCAGGGGCGGGGCAGAGAGGGAGACACAGGATCTGAAGCAGCTCCAGGCTCCGAGCTGCCAGCGCAGAGCCCGACGTGGGGCTCGATCTCATGACCCTCAAAATCATGACCTGAGCCGACGTCGGAGGCTTAACGAACAGCCCCCCAGGTGCCCCAGAACTCACTACTTTAAAGGCCAAGGACACAGCACATCCTTCATCACCCTGTTTCCGACGTGTTCCCCGTTCAAGCTGGACTCCGTGGAGGAGGGCAGGGAGAGGGCTGGGGGAGCCCAGCAGCAGGCCAGGCTCCCCGCGCAGCAGTCTGCTGGGGCCCCTGGGGCCTCACCGCCCCCCCGTCCCTGTCCCTCTGCGTGTCTGTAGTTGTAGAGTTCACCCTACAACGAAAATGACTATTTTTTTTACCTTCATCCCCTATTGGAAGAACGTGTCACCACAGACAGTCCCCTCCGGAGGGGCCGGCTTAGGGCTTCCACATGGGAACGAGGGGGCACAATCCAGCACACGATACCTTGGCAACCCCGATCTGTGGGCCTTTTGGAGAAATCCAGGCCACTGTGTTTTCCAGAACAATAAGGGCATTCTGACGCCCGTGGGGGTGGGCGGGCCTCCGACGGCATCTCCCCCTGACTGTGGTCCAGCGCGGAGCGGGGTGCCTGTGACTCCCACCAGGCTGGGGGGAGGGGCGGCACACAGGCTAAGACACAGCCGCCTCCTGTGAAGGCCGCCGAGTCCTTCCGGGTCCTCCTTTCTCCCTCCCCACCCTTTCTGTGGACGGGTGCCCCCGGCCTGCTTCAAGGGCCCTGGACCGAGGTGTCGGGGGTGCAGAGAAGCACCTCTCAGTCTTCGTGACCAGCTGCGGACGAGCAGGTGCACCCGAGCACGGTAGGTGAGAGCCGGGCCTGGAAGGCCGTGTGGCCGAGCGCGGGTGTCCCTCCAGCCCCGGCAGCCTGGCTGTGTGGCCTGACCTTGGCATCCCAGGCCCCGCCCACCATCTGCTTTGCTGAGTGGACCAGACAGTGCGCAGAGGCCGCGCCGGAAGGAGCCGGCCCCGGGAACCCAGGCCTTGAGCTCTCTGGTCCCCATTCTCACGCGGAACTCCAAGGTCACCCTGATTCCACCTCACATTCCATGGGTTTCCCCATGAGGCTCTCCTCTGCCCACATGGAAACTTCCACAGCTCTGAGAAGTGAAGGTCCCTTCCCGCACCCACCACCCCCGGCCAACCCAGAGTCCCACTGTCCCTGGGAGCGATTTGCTCCCAGAGCTCACTTCCAGGACCCAAGGGGGCCAGAGCCACCACCCCACGGGAGCACACCAGCCAA